TATTTATCTTTTATTTGGGAAATCAGTTTCAGTTAATTTGAGGATTAGAGATACATCAAGATGAACATTACAGGTTGTCCCCCTCAAAAAATAAAACATTCAAAATAATACAAATATTCCAAAACATATCCACTTTAAAAATTTGTTTTCTAGTATCAGTTCAGACAGTTCAGTGTAATTCTTGTTCCTCTGCATCATGGACCATAATTTTTTCTTTGAATTAATACAGCTTTAAAACTTTGGTTTAACAAACTGGTGTCAGCTATTTCTTCCCTGAGCCTGTTTCCTCATCTTAAAATTTAGGAGGTAGGAGACAATCTTGTGTCTCTCCCATTTATCAGTTCTTGGTGTCGTCTTTCTTGTTCACAATAATCAGTGTTGGACACCACCCTCTCCAGATGGTGACTATCATGACCACAGACTTTGAGAACTCTGATGGTCGGCTCACCTGAGTTGAGGTACCTGAGGTACTCTACTGACCTTGAAGGGGTGTGGAGTTTCCCCTGGCTTATTCAGAGTTTTTAATTGCTTTAGTTATTTAGTGTTTCTTTTGGCAAAATTCTTCTGGTTGCTTAAACTAAAAACCAAAGATTTGTTCTCTATTCATGAGCAGATTATAGAAAAGCTGTTTTATTTTCAGAGATATGTTTTTTCATTAAAGGCTTACATTTTAATAAAAAATTCAGATGACTCTCAGAAGTGACTGTTTCAAACTAGTGAACTAGCTGAGAAATAAAATGCACTTCAAAATACGTATTGCCATGAATTTTGCTAGTGAATGCAAATATATTGCTTCTAATAAGTCCTGCATGAGAGAACTTAAAAGATTTGTAGTGAATCCATTTTTTCACATAGTAGATTAGTTCTAAAGTTCTTAAAAATAATTTTAGGGATGTCCTGAAATCTTATTAATAATTGGCCAATTTACGTCCTTATTTTGTCTCTGTAGGTACATTTTAGGTTATCCATGTTGAATTTCCAGTAGGTAAAGCTCGAATTAATGGTGTTTGTCATGAATTCTTAGTTACTACAGATATTGCATCTGTTGAATTTTTAATTATTTTAGATACCAAATTAAATATTGGTTTGTTGGTTGTTGCTAAAGTGATTGTTACTTTAACTGTCTTTCTTCTTATTTTTTTTTATTTTATTTATTTATTTTACATTTATTGTGTGTGTGTGTGTGTGTGTGTGTGTGTG